CAGACAAAAAGCTGTCCATGAGCCATCTCTGTGTCCTGATGGCCAAGAAGGCCAGTGGTGTCTTGGGGTGCATTAGGACAAGCATTGCCAGCTGGTCGAGGAAGGTGATCCTGACCCTCTACTCAGGCCTGGTGAGGCACATCTGGAGCGCTGTGTCCAATCCTGGACCCCTCAGTGCAGGGTAGACATGAGAGATCCTGGAGAGGATCCAGTGGATGATTAAGGGACTGGAGCATCTCTATTACAAGGAAAGGCTGAGAGAGTTGGGCCTGCTCAGTCTCAAAGAGACAACTGAGAGGGGACCTTATTGATGTCTGTAAGTATCTGAAGGGAGGGTGATAAGAGGCTCCAGACTCTGCCAAGCAATAGGACAAGAGGCAACAGGCAGAAAATCATGCACAGGAAATTCTGCCAGAATATGAGGAAGAACTGCTTCACTTTGTGGGTGACCATGCATTGAAAGAGATTGCCCAGAGGCTGTGGAGATTCCCTCACTGGGAATACTGAAGAGCCGTCTGTATACAATCCTGTGCAAGGTACTGTAGAATGTCACTGCTTGAGCAGGGAGTTTGGATCAAATGCCAAACTGTGGTCCTTTCCACTCTGACCCACTCTGTGATTCTGTGATAATCAAACACATGAAAATTGATTAAAATCAACTTTATTTAGTAAGATGCTAATTTTAGACATAGTTGCATGTAATCACTGCTACTTTCAGACAACAAAAACTTTTTTTTTATATAAGAATTCTAATGTTAAGTAAATTTGAAAATTAAAACCAGAACAATAACAACAAAAAACATTCCAATTTGCTAAGCAAAAAGATTTTAACAAGGTTTTTGGAGTTTTTGTGGGTGGGTTTTATTTATTTTTTTTTTTTTCCTAAACTATATTGTTCTTTGCCAAGAACACATGGTGGGAAAATAGGGTCTTTTGCCATGAAGTTTTGGCCAACTCTACAAAAAAAAATTAGAGAAAAATGTGTTCTCTATGAATTATTATTTAATCTTTAGGTATGCAGAATCCTAACCAGGCAATAAAATCTCTCAAAACTGTACAAGAACTTAAAATGCCTTTTGTGAAAAAATCAATACTTTTTCTTTAAATAATCCTAACATATAGGAAAATTGGTGCATATATTAACTAATTTTTAAACTCATGATTATACAATATACATATGATATTTATAATGGAAGATTGATATATTTGTATATCAAAAGGTTGCACTAAAAATGTTCTTTAAAAAGCTCTGTTCTCTCAATAAACTGACTTATGATAAAAGTGCTACCACTATGCTAACATTAGACCACAGATCTTGTGCTGCAAAATCCTGTACTACCTGGTTGTGAAAAGTAAAATTATAGTTGCAAAGAAGCAACATTTTATTTTTTATTCACATTATATTATTACAAGCTCTGTTTTCTAACTCTATATTGCCTTTTGTGACTCATCTACTATGGTTAACACTCAGATACTGAGAAATACTGAACTGTATTATACATTTCTTTGCACTACTATTTGCTGTATGTTGCATATTTGGGAATACCAAAATACCAATATTTTCTTGGAAAGAAAAATACAGATTAAATTTTTTTTCCTTTCATTTTACTGAAAATCATCAGTAATAGAATAGTATGAAGAAAAGAATACAGTACTTTCAATAGATGCCTGACTAGTTCATGAAGATTCTTTTTATTCCAGTTTTCTACCTATACACAATGAAAGAACTCCAGAAGAATGAAATTACTTGAAGTACCTATAATTTTGTGGACAAAAATATTTTCATTGGTAATGTATCTGTTCTGTATTGATTTCTTTTTGCAATTCTATTAGGTTGCTTTCTTAATCACAATTCCTTCATTAGAAATGACACCTAGCCTTATGTTATTATCAGTTTTAGTAAAAATATATTTATGAATAATATAGATTTTTATCAAAAAAAGGAGGTTCTTTTTTGTTCTAATTTTAAGTTTGATTATGTGGTTAAGTGAATTTTGTGCTGATGGTAAGTAGCTAAATGAACCAAAATTTTTTAGCCATAGCTACAGTGTTGCCTGAGTGTGGGAGTCTTCACTTTTTTCCAGGACTCCTCATCCATCTTTAGCCACAGGACTCAAAACTGCTTATTGCCTTAGGGAGCAGATGACTCTGCAAAAATGTCTCATCTTTGACCTTTGTGTTGTGATTGTGAGATGTGAAATATTTTCAAAACACACCATTTTTTTGTAATGTAATTCTTTATCCTCAGCATTTGAACCCATTCCATCATCATATTTCAGCTAGCCAAATAACTATCAAACTAAAAGAATATATGTTCAAACTGAATAAATTTAAATTGGCTTCAATAATATGGCCTAGAGGTTAAAGCTTGAATATACATATTCTAGCTTGCCAAGCTATTGAAATGATAGTCAGTGTTAAGAATTTTATACTCATATATTATTATTAATAATGTGAATTCCATCATAAAAGACTTAAAAAATTATTGCCTCCTTTAAGTCTATGATCAAAAAAAAGTAATAGACTGCATCTTCTATGCTTGTACCTAGAGTTTTCATCTTTTTCATCAATCACAACCAATTTGTTCTAAATAATGAAGACGTATTGTCTCCTCTTGCCTGTATTTTAATTATATAAAAGTGCTGCAAATGTATCTCTGTTCATTCAAGTTTATATGGAATCTGAGACACAATGAAGTCTTAGGGACATGCTTTGTATTTCTGCATTATCAAAATTTTACCCCTAAGGGGAATATTATGTTGACATTTTCAGGGCTGAAACTGTGCTCACCAACCAGAGGAAAACACATCACTGAATTTCAGTTTAAGAGAAATCAATACATAAAAGTAGCAACTTCTATTCAATTTTCAGCAGGCATTTCTATGCTTATGAAGTTTTGCTAAAGTACTTCCTATAAGAGATAATTTGCACAATTTGGATTTTTTTCTTTCCATAACAATTGAAATGAAATGAATGGAAGTTTAAAAAATTGTATATTATTGTATACCTATGCCACAAATACAGAATTCTTAAACTAACACAAATATTAAACCACTGAGAGTATGTTGTAAATTTGGCAGAGATTTTTTTTTTCCATTTTTAATTTCGCATTGTTTTTCCATTGCTATTAATTCCTTCAAGGAAATGTCTTAAATTTGATGAAGTTACATAATATTGGGGAAATTTTATTAATTACAGATTTACAGTCTTGAAGAAGTGGGAATCCAGCCACAGAAAATCAAGAATTCTTTAACTGTGAAATATAAATGTTAATAAATAGTTCACATTTATTTAAAAAAAACCCTCAATATGGTGCGAGAGACTGCAGAAATAAATTAGATTTGTATTTATTAGATTTTACTTTAAGAATGTGAATTTGTTTGAAGAATGTGTTTATTAGTTTGGGTAAAATAATTATTGCATCTGAACTACTTGTATTTTTACAGTAGGAACAGCAACACAAGGGGATAATTTTAATACTTCAAAAAAGTAATTTATATTGTAGCTAATAAAATGAGACAAGAGGATGACCAAATGGCATGATTTTAGATCACAGTGTAATCTGTACCACATTTTCAAAGGCAAGGAAAAAAATCCTTGAAAAGGAAACTTAGTATTAAAATGGAATTTCATTGTTGGTGTTCATTCCACTGCTGGTATGACATCACTTCTTTTAGATAACAGTGTAGTCAGTGATACTATACTTCAATGATATGACAAAGGAAAAGTCACTCAAAGGACTGATAAGAGCAAATAACTGCCTGGTTTAAAAGTAACAGACTATGGGTGAACTTCATAAATTAAAATCAGAAATATTTTTTCTTGTTTACTTTGTAAATTGTCCATATATCAACAGCAAGAGAGCAGAGAATTAGAATCTATGCTGCATCAGTGGTCCTACCTCTGCAATTGATGTACAAAATGTAATGACCATTTCTATGTCTCTAGCATATGAAATAACATACAGCTTCATTCTTCTTAGGATCTAGAGTTTCAAAAGGTTTTCTTGCACTCATTAAATTCTGGAACATGAATGATTTTCATATAACAATTATATATAACTGAAGTTATAAAATGGTTCTTCTACATGGTATCTAGCTTAGCAAAACCCACATGGTGTTCCAATGAAAAATGAAGATTTTTTTTCCAGCACTTGAGCTCCAACAGTAGCACAAACTTTGACTGAAAGAAAAAGAATGAGCGTGGCATATTAAGGCTGAGAGACATGGGACACAATTGTCTAAAACATGCCTCACAATCATTGGGCCTTTCATTATTCAGAACTTTTTAACACCTAGAAATAAGTAACAATAGTGTCTGTTTTCTCTACGCAGTATTTAAATTTAAAAATTTAAAATAATCCTATTTCAAATGAAAATTCCCAGTTAGAGAGTGTTATATAAGCGTTAATGGAGTGTTGCTAATATCAACAGAAGCTGTGATGTAACCTATTAGAGTTTTGTAAAAATTTCTCATTCAGGAACTTTGACAGGTTGCAGTGACCTCTTAAATCTACAAGCCTTCTTTGCAGTCAGAAAAATAAAAGCCTTTAGAGTTTCGTAATACTCATATTGGTGTGGATATGGAATATTCTGGAAAGAGTCTGACAAGTAGTTGATAAATAGATTGCTGAAATTTGGAAACCTGACAATATCTAGCATTCGTGAGTGACTTGTGCTCTACTGAATTAATTACAATAATCACCCGGATTTCCACATGTGTGGGAACCTAGGATTTCTGGCAAAAAGAAACTGAGCATGTAGGAATCAACTGCTCTGTTTATATGATAAACAGTTGATCTGTAAATACAGAAATAATCTGACACCTCTGTTATTCAGACTTCCTATATATGAAGAAATTCACAGATTTACAGTTTTAGAAATTTTCCAAGAGAGCCTGGAAGAAAAGTCTGTCAGATAGACATTGAAGGACATTGTTATAGAAGTTAAATCTGAAATGACAATTCATCTGATCAAAGTAATAGATCTACACCAACTTACCCCCTCACCAGAATGTCCTCATAGCACAGTTAAGGACTGGAGGATTAAAAGTGTAAGACTCTTCAAGATTTCCCTGAAATAGAAAATCAAACATGTTTTATTTGCTTTTCTACAGCAGCACCAATAATTTCTGAAGTGTTCAAGAAAGACAAAAATTAAATACACTGATAATAATAATACACTTCTGCCAACAGTAATCATTGAAAAGCAGCAAAACAAAGTGGAACTTCTAGAGTAACTTTGATGTGAAAGAATATAAATCATATTCATACACAATTATTTATATTGTAACTATCTGTACGTGATTGAAATTGTTATGAAACAATTGTGTTCCAAACACATTGTCTTAGTCATAAACACTTTCTTTCTTTATCCCTCTACTAGACCAGCCCTTTCTCAATGTACTGTTTTGTGCAAAAATGCACTTTCATGACTGAGCTTACGCTCTTAGCTCTTCAACTACACCAAACATATCACCAAAACCTTGCACCAACTTGATAAATTACCTTAGGTATATGAAAACAGAACTGTAGCCTTTTGAATAGTAAAGTTATCTTTTCACATATCACAAACCTGTGACAACCTCTACCATGTGGAAATCCATTCAAAGCACTCATTTAGCTTTTTCTCACTCCCAGTCAAGCTTAAGAGGTGAGCCTGTGAAAACCCCATGATGTTCAACAAGGCCAAATGCAAGGTTCTGCATCCTGACTGGGGAAACCCAAACATAAGTATAGGCTGGGTGGAGAATGGATTGTGAGGAGAAAGATTTAGGGGTATTGGTTGATGAGAAGCTAAAAGCAATCCAGTAGTGTGCACTTGCAGCTCAGAAAGCCGACTTCAGCCTGGGTGACATCAGAAGTGGTGCTCCCAGAAGGTCAGGGGAGTTGATTGTCTCCCTCTACTCTGCTCTTATGAGACCTCACCTGGAGTGCTGTACCCAGCAAAAGAAAGATATGGACCTGTTGGAACAAGTCCTGAAGAAAGACACTAAGTTAACCACAGGACTGGACAATCTCTTCTATGAAGATGGGCTAGGAGAATTGGGGTTGCTCAGTCCAGAGAAAAAAAGGCTTTGGGGAGAATTTGTAGCACTTTCTACTATCTGAAGAAGTCTTTCAAGAGGCCTGGAAATGGACTTTCGACAATGGCTTGTAGTAATAGGCCAAGCGGTAATGGCCTTAAGTTTAAGGAGTGTATGTTTAGGTTAGATGTTAGGAAGGAATTTGTTGTCCAAAGAGGTTGAGGACTCCCCATCTATGAAAGGTACAAGGCCAGGCTGGATAGGGCTGTGTACAACTGGTCTAGTGGAAGGAGACCCAGGTAGGGGATCTGAATCTAGAAGATCTTTAAGGTGCCTTCCTATCATAACCATTCAATGAGTCTATGATTCTGTTATCTTTCCTTTGGGGTAAGGCTGGGAGAGGTAGAACTGTTCAGTCTGGAGAGAAGAAGGCTCAAGGGAAAACTCATCAACACATATAAACAACTGAAGAGAAGATGCAAAGATGGAGTCAGGCTGTTTTCTTTGGTGTCCAACGAGAGGACAAAAAGCAATGAGAAAAAGGAAACACAGAAAGAGCTGTATGACTATCAGAGAACAGCTTTTTTTACTGTAGCTAAGTACTGAAGCAGTTTGCCAAGAAATTACTGTGGAATATTCATCTTGGAAATACTGAAAAGTGATGTGGACATGGTCTTAGGTAACCTGCTTTCAGCAGCTCTGATTGAGCAGAGAGGCGGGTCCCGATCCAACTTTGATACTCTGTGATACTGCAATATTTTTTACACAGCATGCATGAGCTTGTGTTTTATCCTCTTACTCAGCAGTTTGGGATTGATAACCACCTTCCACTGTTTTATATATCTCAGTCATGTCATTCAGAAATCACAATATTCCTAAATCATTTAGGAGAGAATAAAAGTAAATACCAATAAATGACCACCAATGATCAAGAATGTTTCATCCTAAAAACTCTCTTCCCTGAAATGTTCTTTTTTTGTCATAATATAGTAACAGTTTCAGTGGTTTTGTTGATTTGTTTTGTTTTTTAAATTCACTGCATATGCAACAGGAAGGCAATTGTTGAAAGTAGGCAGGTAAAAAACTTTTGTTATAAGCTAATGTTAAGTAATATAAAATACAACGGGAATATATGTTTGGAGCACTTATTTTATATGATCTTGCAGGGATTTCAAATGTGGTGAAACATGGTTGGACAATGGACTGAGTTGATCATTTTGATGTCAGAATCATTTCACTATCTTTGTTTTCCATAGTCAGACAGCAAGCAGAGTGAATAGAAACACACAAATAGTAATGCTGTCAGTGCTGAAGGCTTAATGACATGGTTCAAATTACTACTTTGAATACATATGTTGTTACACTGTAACATTGCTGTGTTTATGGCAGAGATTTATTAGGCTGATACTAACACCAGTTAGTATTTCCTTTTTGTCAATAAAGCATCAATTATTATTTTTTCTTTACCTAAATTGCTAAACTAATCATCACATCACAGGAATGCTGATTAAGCAATATGAACTCATAAAATATGCCCTGAAAACTGGTGCACTATGCATTGCTCCTTTTTCATAAAAATGTATTCAAATATAAGATTCTTCCATTCTTTTATCAGTACCCTTTGTTACTCTATACTATGCATTTTGGTTGCCTGTATTAAATTTGTTTGGTACAATTATGTGGTCTTTCATCACATGAAAATTATGAACCTGTTCTCTTCACTGAAAGACTATTTTCACATTCAGTACTTTCCCCTTTTTTAAATAGTACTATTTTTCATCAACTTTTGCTTAAAAAAAACAGAAATTCCAACGACAAAACATAAAAATATTGCTTAAATAAATTCTTAATGTTCTAATTTGTTAAGCACAGTTTATATAGATTAATTTATGGTAATTTTCTTGAAGAACAAAAAATACATTCTGTGTACATTTAAAAGAAAGACAAAGAACTATTTCAGAGTTGTAGTAGAGGGACAGAAGTTGAGTAAGACTAACCTTTTCCTGTATTTGGAGGTGTGCATACCTTTCACTTCCCTCTTCCCCTGCACTGTTTTTCTCTACCGACCATTCCATAGTTCTTTTCTAATTTTACTCAATTTCTTTTGATAGTTTCACAGTTAGGCCTTATTCCGTTTTTGTCTCAGTATCAAAGATATCAGTGTATCTGCATAGCTTTGAGCTTAAATCATAGATGATTAAACTGCAAAAACTGACAAAACCAACAGCACATCTGAATATCATAGGGAGGGTAGCTCTGGAAACTCATCTATTTGGTTTCCTAAACTTGCCAAAACAGAAAAATCTCTATCATCTACTGTTTATTTAAAAGATAGAAAAAAACTAAGAGGATGGTGGGTTACATTGCTAAAAATATCAAGGGAAAAATGTTGCTATACAGCCCCACAGGATCAATAGGCTTGCTCCTGCTTAAAAATAAAATAACTTATAAAATTACTGGTTTTCTTTTTTTACAAAAATACTCCTTCCCTTAAAAAATCTTTTGTGTCTCCAGAATCTTTATTCCCCGTATTTAAATATAAAATATAAGAAAGCAGATGTCACAGTTCCCAAACTTTGTTTCTAAGTCTGTGTCACACAATGCTAAAAGTATTGTGTAAATCACTCTAGTATTGAAATAATGAAAATGGGTATTCATTGTATTCCACACCTTAGGCAGGCAAAACTAGCAGCTAACATGGAACACAGTGTATCTTCATTGCTTCATGCTTTTCTGCCCAGTCGGCTTTTTCTCCCTTGACAGAGTCCACGAGTACAAAGAATTCAGCACTGTTACTTAGGAAAAAAGAGTTTCATTTTCTGCAAGTTTACCTTTTTGATGGCAGTCTGATAAATGTTACACTTGTACAGGGAAAGGGGAAGAAGCAGATGAATTGGTACTTTTTGTGGTAACTGGATTGTAACTTGTTTTTTTCAAAAGAAAAACCTCTCTCAGGCACCTGAAGGTCATGGTAAGGGACAGACAAAGCTCTTTAACAGCTGAAAAGCCTGTCAGGAAAATGACATAGTAGTCAAGCCCTTATTTTTTTTTTTTTTTTTAAGGGAAACAGGTGTTGTATATGTGGATATGGTACAGAATAGAAAATGAGGTCCTATATGGACTCATGACCAAGAAGTCACTTTTGGGCTATGGAAAGGAAAGAAACACCAACAACCAAATAAAAAAATTGAGAGAAGAGAAGGAATAAAATAAATGACTCATAATTAACTCGATGCAAACAACGGTCATGCTGGGATAGCCTAGTTCTGAGTAACATCATTTAGATGCTGGGAATTTCAACCAACTTAACACTGTCTGTAACATTAGTTAGCTTCAGATTGAGATTATAAAAAGTGTGTAGAAAATCTTTAAAGATGGAAGCACTGAAAAAATAGAATATCATGCTCATTATAAGCAGGAAAGGTGAGCCAGAAGTTGAATCTTCTATAAGCTGGAGGTACTTAGTCTGATGTAATATCAGAGAGTAGACTCCATACTTCTATAATTTTACTAAAAATGTTTAAAAGGATGAAAGACTGCATCAAACGTTGGTATATACCTTAAATTCTCCTTTCATAGTAATTTGTTTTCCCCCACAGAATTGGAAGTTATTTATATTTAGGATTTTTTGGTTTTGACAAAGAGATTATACTGTCAAAAATTGTTTTCTTATTAAGAGCAATTTTCCCCTTGCTGATACAATAACTGCCATCAACATCTGACAGTCATTTTCAGGATGTGTGAGTACACTGTTTACTGTCATCTTTGCAAATATGAAGTGTGAAAAATATGTATTTCTCAAATAAAGTTTAGAGTAAAATATTCCTTATTTAACCATTTGCTTTAATCAAGAAAGAACATCAAGAGATGTGTCTTGGGCTCTAAGCAGCAACATGAAAGAGGAGGAAAAATATAAATCTCTCAAATTAAAATATGAAAGTGTGAACAATGATATTAAAATCAGGATTTTCAAAATTCAGAAAATCTGGTACCTAATTTAGTTCAATTAGTTTCCTTTGCAAAGTCTTTCAAATAGACTAGATAAACCA